TGTTGGACTCCCACCAGCAGCAAGTTCACAACAATGAAGCCATCAGCCCTATGTTGTTGGCGACAGGCAACATCGTCGAGGATGACGTCGATTGACTAAACGAGCGGTTGGGGCCATCTTCGTGGTCAAACTTCGCAGCTTTGCCATCCTCTGTGCCTCCTGCGACTCCTCCACTTCCCGTTTTCCTCTTCTTCCACTTATCTTCTCTCCATCCCTTGTCATTTCTTCTCTTCTCAGCTCCTCTTCCTTCTCTGCAGTGGTGGATGGGACCGCCTTCACCAAAAGACGTATGTTGTACGTGGGGCCGTCTATAGTGGAGCTGCCGTTGCTTGTCGTCTTCTTCCAATTCCTTTGCCTGAACATGGCATGTGTTGCGTTGTCGCGGTTCCTCAGCGTTCTTGTAGCTCTTCTGGTGTTTCGCTTCTCGTCTTTGTATGCTACGTCACTTGTTGATCACCTGCTTCGACGTTCTGTCCTCACAGCTTTGTCGTCTTGTGCTTCCTGTCTCTTTCACACAGGTCAGTAATGCGAGACTCATCATACTATGGCGATTTCTTGATGTCTTCACCAGCCAGTGACATCATCAATCTATGCCATTTGTGGTGACGTCTCATCATCTATGCCATTTGTTGTGACGTCAGCCAAGCAGCAACGTCACCAACAATGAAGCCATCACTTATGTTTGTTGCCGACGGCAACATCGTCGAGGATGACTCGTCGACAACGAGGCGGCGGCGCATTCCGTGGTCGCACTTCGATGGCTTTGCATCCTCGTCTCCCGGCGGACCCCTCCTCTTCCCTATCTCCCTCTTCTTCCACCTATATCTTCCTCCTCCATCTCTGTTCTTGGTCTTCCATTCTCTCTCAGCTCCTCTTCCTTCTCTGCAGTGGTGGTGGGACGCACTTGCAATACGTTAGGTTGGTGGTCGTGCTTATAGGGGAGCTGCGTTCGTCGTCTTCTTCCGATTCTTTTTGCTGAGATGGCAGTGTGTTGGTTGTCGGTTCCTCAGGTTCTTGTAGCTCTTCTGGTGTTTTGCTTTCTCGTTTTTGTATGCGACGGTCTATCTTGTTGATTCACCCTGCCTCCGACGTTCTGGTCCTCCCTGCTTTGGCGTCTTTTCTTTTCTGCTCTTCGCACAGGTCACTAAAGCGAGACTCATCATCTATGCATTGTGATGTCGTCACAGGCGTGAATCATCATCTTATGCCATTTGTTGTGACGTGCACCAGCAGCCAACGTCACCAACAAATAAAGCCACACTTATGTGTTGCGACGGCAACAACGTGCGAGGATGACGTCGTCGACAACCGAGCAGCGGCGGGCCATCTCGGTGTCGCACCTCGGACGGCTTTGCATCCTCGTGCCTCCTGGCGACTCCTGCTCTTCCTCTTTTCCTCTTCTTCCACCTTATCTTTCTCCTCCTATCCTCCTTTGTTGTTCTTCCTTCTCTCTCAGCTCCTCGGTCCTTCTCTGCAGTGGTGGTCGGTACTATCAATGCCAGGTAGTGTCCTGTGTTGTGTTCGTCGCCATGGCCTGACCCTTCCTCTCCATTCCTTTAGGCAAAGGCCTGGTTGGCCATCTATATGCCAGTGTCCTCTGAGTAGGTTGTGTGCATGATTGATGTCCTGGTCAGGTTTGCTGTGTCCCTCCTCTCGCATCCTTTAGCAAGGCCTGCTTGGCATCTATATTGCTAAGTATCCTGGGTAGAGATTGTGTGTGTGGTTGATGTCCTGGTCATGGTTTGTTGTCGCCCCTCTCTATCCTTTAGCACAAGGCCTGGTTGGCATCTATATTGCCCTAGTGTCCATCCTCTCGCTGACCTCGGCCATGACATCTGACCTCTCGCTGACCTCGGCCATGACATCTGACCTTTCGATGACCTCGGCCATGACATCTGACCTCTCACTGACCTTGGCCATAATATCTGACCTTTCGATGACTTCTGCCATGACATCTGACCTCGTGCTGACCTCGGCCATAACATCTGACCTCTCACTGACCTCGGTCACGACCTCTGAACTCTCGATGACCCTGGTCGTTGCCTCGCTGCTGACCTTCTGACCTGGACTGACTGGGCGCGGCCACGAATCTTGTTCTACATCTGAGTTTCTCTCACACTCCCCAGGTGGCGCCACGGTGACGTGGCGAGGCAGCGAGGGGGCGCTGATTGTGTTGGAGGGTGGCCAGTCCATGCCACCATCGTCAGACTGCGTGAGACTGAGCGACTGCGCGAGTGTGTGAGAGGAAGCAAGCGTGGGACTGAGCGCAGGACTGTGCGTGAGAATGAGCGTAAGACCGAGTGTAGGAGTGGCGGTGGAATTGAGCATGCAGGTGAGCGATGGACTGACGAGTGCAGGGCTGAGCAATAGATTGAGCGTTCCTTCCTTCGCGTTGCCTTCCTCCTCTGTTCCCTCCTCTTTGACATCTTCTTCACTCTTTGCATAGTCTTTATTTCGTGTGTCGTCCGCTTCCTTCTCCGTGTCTCCTTTATCCTCTATGTAGTCTTTCCTTTCTCTGTTAGATTCCTTCACCGTATAGGCTTCTTTCTTTTCGGTCAGGTCTTCCTTCTCTAGCCTCGCAATACAGGCGTCCTTCTCTGTGTAGTCTTGGTCTATCATGTGGCTCTCCTTTTCTCTGTAGTCGTCCTTCTCCATCAAGGCTTCCTTTACTCGGTCGTCTTGCTCTATCGTGTGGCTCTCCTTTTCTCTGTAGTCTTCCTTCCCCATCCAGGCCCCTGCGTCTGTGTTGTCTTTCTTCTCTGGGTGGTCTTCTCTATTCTCTGTGTATTTACTATCTGTGAGCGGTTCTTTCTCTCGCTGACTTTCCTTCTCTGAGTAGTCGTCTTTTCCTGTGATTGCTTCTATCCCTGAGTGAGCTTCTCTATGCACGTGGTCTCCTTTCCCTCTCCTGGTTTCTTTTTCCATGCATTCATCCTCTGCTCTCCAGGGATCCCTTCCTGTGCAGTCTTCTTCCCCTCTCCAGGGATCCTTCTCTGTGTAGTCTTCTTCCCCTCTCCAGGGATCCTTCTCTGTGTAGTCTTCTTCCCTTCTCCAGGGATCCTTCTCTGTGCAGTCCTCTTCCCTTCTCCAGGGATCCTTCTCTGTGTAGTCTTCTTCCCTTCTCAAGGGATCCTTCCCCGTATAGTCTTCTTCCCTTCTCCAGGGATCCTTCTCTGTGCAGTCCTCTTCCCTTCTCCAGGGATCCTTCTCTGTGTAGTCTTCTT